ATACTATTTGTACTTTTAGAGTTTCTCTTATGTGCATTTATTTATCTGTTTAAACTATTAATTTTCAATCATTCTTACTGACTGACTCCTAAGCAAAGAGCAGGAAAATATGCAAGCGAAAATTATTATGGACCAGGTGTGGTAGTATATGCTTGTAATCCCAGAACTTGGGTGGCTGAGGCAGGAGGATCGAAGCAAGTTGGAGGCCAGCCTGGGCTACATACTGAGTTCAAGGCTATCGTGATCTGTATAACAAGACCCTGTCTCAAAAACAAAACCAAAGGGAAGAAAAATGTATCATGGCCAATGACTTGATTGTGGTAAAATCAAAATATTCCTAACTAGTGGTATAAAAACCTGCCTGATGTTTTTTCAAGAAGCAAGGTTTCAAAAACTAATAACTAAGCATTGCTAAATTGTGGCACATCCTGTAATCTCAGCCTTTGAGAAGCTGAGGCAGAAGGATCACTGTGAGCTCAAGGCCTGCCTGGGATACAAAGTGAGATCTGGTTTCAGAAACAAACAAAAAATTTAAAACTATTTAATAAAGAAAATGGAAAGGAACAAGAAATGCTTCAGAATTTAAAGAATCAGCCAGAGATATAGCTCAATGGCATAAGCCTGCCCGGCAAGAGCAAGGTCCTGAATTCATTTCCTGGTACCAAAAAAACAAACAGAATTTAAAGAATCAATACAATACACACAGAAATAAAAAGTTATTGAGTTTTATTATGTGTAATACATTGATCATCCAGATCAAATAGTAGGAAAAACTGTGAATTATTTACCTGAAGAATATAAAATGGAATAATAAAAACGAATATTGTTCTGAGCTTTATATTCCAAGCTAATTATTACTAGTTAATAGTGCTTTAAAAGCTTTAAAAATGTCCACTGACGACAGTGAATCTCTGATGTTTTTGGTGTCACGACTTCTTTTTTTTTTTTTTTTTTTTTTTTTCCTTTTTATTGGTACCAGGGATTCATGACTTCTTTTACATTTCTTAAAAATTGTTAAGGTCCTTGAAGAGCTTTTGTTTATGTGAGCTATATGAATCTATATTTGCCATATTAGAAATTAAACTTTACATCTTTAGTATATATACTGCTGAAGCAAGCACTAAACTTTACATTTAAAAAACTGTATTCATTAACTCACAAATACATAAACCTTTTATATGTTTACATAAATAATTTTATGAGCATAATTATATTTTCCCAAACAAAAAATAAATTTAACTGGTGGAAGGGTACTGATTTGCATGTCTACACATCCCTCTAATGTGTGGCATAAAGAGAAGACAGCTGCTTTTTTTGTATCTAGTTCTGCATTCAATCTGCTGTAATATCACATATCAAGTCGGCTTTGCAAAACTTCAATAGACATTCATGAAAAAATGTGAACAGAGATAGCCAACGCTGTCATAGCTTTATTCTGAAAATAGTTTGACTCCACAACCACCTGAAAGGGCCTTAGCAACAAACAGGGGCCCCCACACCCTACTTTGAAAGCTATTTATTAACACTACCAGTTCTCTGAGGGACAAAGAAAATAGGGAAGTCCAGTGTGAGAGTTGACAGGACCCAGGAAGTCTGGTTCCAGGCACCTGCTGCCCTGCGGGCCTGAGGAGAGCAGAGGGCTCAGTTTCACAATGTTTCAGACAGCAGCGAGCAACTGCGGTTGCCTGGCAGTCACAGGACCAGCCTCGCTTCTACTGACTATGATAAATTTTCGAATTAAGTCTTTTTATTTGTGTACAGCAGAGGTAAGAGAAAGAGAGAGCTACTACCACCAACCTCACCTCCGAGTAGGCAGAGGCCTACAGTGGAAATGACATCCCACCTATCTCCCTGAAGGGCGAGGCACCTCCTGGAGACTGTGGCCCAGGCCCCAGGCACCTTGCAGAGACCGGCTGCCAGGGTAAGCCGTTTCTATCCCTCCCTCCACTCAAAGACACTTCTTCACACCTTCTTCCTTACATAAAATGTCTCCTCATGCCTTAATTAAAATGTTGAAAGAGTAACAAAATGTAGCATGCTATGAAATAGGTCCCATGATTCAAGAAGTCAAATTATAAAAAAAAAACTGTTTAGTAAGTTGAAAAATCAAAGCCTATTTTAGACTTTCACTTTTAATCATATGTCAAGATGAATTCCAGATGTATTAACTGCCTTCACAGATGGAGAAACAGCCAGGGCTGGCCAAGGCAGACACCAACCCACTGGTGGGCAATTCCCAGAGGCCCCCCCACCCCAGGGCTGGGAGGCGGCAGTTTGGAAGACGCTGCAGCAGGAAGGTAGAGACTGAGGTGATTTCCAACCTCAAGGCAGCTAACCCTTGTGTATCCTCTGCAAAGGGCTCTGTCTCTCAGTCCTCAACCTTACTTCGTAACAGTTGGTGATAACGGTACCAGCACCAGGAGTGGCTAACACTTATTACACACTGGAAAGTGCCTTCCCCATTAACATATGGAAGAAAGATTGAAAAGTGTCACTCGTCCATATTGCTGCTCCTTAGTGTGCTTAACTGTAATATTTTAATGCTCAAAACAATGCCAAGTTCCTTTTATTTTTAAGTGACAAGTTTCTTACTATTTACTTAATTAAAGTACACCACTTAAATTGCAAAAACATACACTTTCCCTCAAGGCCTCAGTAACATTATTTTAATTTGGAATGGGAAAAAGATGCAGCCCATAAACATGTTTATTTTTCCTGGATTGGCCCTTTTAACAACAACAGAAAAAAAAAACCCTGGCTGGCAGGGAAGCTCTGAGTCATCTGGGTCACTTTCTCCTGGCTGCTTCTGTCAGGGACCCACAATCAGGAGACAAAACCTGGAGCTCTTGCAGGAATAAGAAAGTGTACCTCATAGGGGAGCAAAAGACAGAATTAGGTCCCAGAATGAGCCTGAGCAAACTATCTGCCTTTTCCTTGTGTCACAAAGCTGGGGATACCAGCCCTAGTGCACAGATAAAAAATGGGTACCATGCATGGAGCCCTGAGCTCCCAACTGCAGATAGTCTGTCAGATCTCCAGTCCAAAGCCAGTGTCCTGCTTTCTGTTTTACCCTCTCATATAGCACCTTTCAACACCTCCCCGCCCCGCCCCACGAGGACCCTTCAGCATCAAAGCATTTGCCCTTCAAGTGGTCAGCCATTCACACTGCTGCCCAGGGCTACAACAACACTCCACACTTCCCTCCCTCTCTCACTCCTCTGTCTGGGAGGCCACTGGCCCTGTGTAGAACCTTCCCACTTCCCTGGCAACGCTGGACCAAGGCTCACACCAGGCCCTGATGTTCAAGGTGCACAAGAGAAGAGCTTCAATCCCTTCTCCACTGCAGCAAGGCCCACGCACCTGACTGTGTGTTCCAATAACAGGGGACAAAGGCTTTCTATCTGCAAATGGCTGGGCCTGTATGGGAAGAGTACTTGCCTAGTGGATGAAAAGCCACAGGTTCAAATCCAGGACCACTAAAATAATGATGATACTAACAACAAAGTATTACAGCAGAACAGAGAGACTGACTGTACTTATCAATCCTGTACCTACAGGTGGAAGAAACTAAGGGCATAAATAAAATCTCATATTGTTCATTCAGATTGGCTCAAGTTTAAAACACTTAGTCATTGACCAGTGCCAGAAGCAATGGCAATGGTTTATTAGTTTCCAACAGCTTCTTTTTAGGCAAACTACTTTGCTGCCCTCTGTACTAAGTACAGAGAGAGAAAGAGAGATAAAGAAACAGAGAGACAGAGAGACAAAGACAGAGAGAGAGAGAGTTTTACTGAGGATTGAATCAAGGGACCTCACACTGAGCTACCAAACTTTTTTTTTTTTTTTTTTTTGGTGGTGTTTGTTTTTACAGGGTCTTTCTAAACTGCTAAATTGCCCAGGCTGGGCTCAAACTTACAGTTCTCTTGCCCTGAGCTCCTCAGTGCCCTGGACTCCTGGGATTACAGGCATGTGCCACCATACCCCACTTAAATACTGAGTCTTGAAGTTGTGAGCCCTCTAACTAACTCATTTTCTCTGGCCTCCTGAAACAATGGTTTCATTGCTTTTCTTTGCTGTGTGTCACACAGATCCTACAATGTCTATCAGACTCATAGTTTCCTCTATCTTTTGCCTTCCTTTGTCTCTTGTCCTCCATTCCATATCTATCAACATTCATCTCCACTTTTTTTTGGAGACAGGGTCTCGCTGTGTAGTTCAGGCTGATCTTGAACTCACTACGTAGCCTAGGCTGGCCTCAAACTCTTGGCTAGCTTCCTGCCATAGCCTCCTAAGTACTGGGATCATAGGCATGTGCTACTGTGCCAACTCATGTTTGTTTGTTTGTTTTTGGTACTGGGAATTGAACTCAGGACCCTGTGCTTGTAAGGCAGGCACTTATACCGCTGAGCTATATCCCTGGCCCATGTCTTCATTTTTTAGTATTCTACTTTTGGTTCTTTTTGCTACTTAATATGATAAGCTTACAATTTTTAATATTTTTAAAATATTACTCTTCCTTTGCAATATCCTGTCCATGGCTTGATAATACATATCTGTATATTTTTAAAAGTAACTTCTATTCATTCACTCAAGAAATGGTTACTGAATACCAACTATGTGCCAAGCATGAAAATATGACAGAGCTTATCTCACTTATACAACTGATAATGTATAGCTTGGAGCAGGCATTGAGATTGTATTCTATTCACTGGTCTTCAAAAAACAAGAAATAGAACTTACTTGAAGAAATAACAAAGACCATTTTTTTTTTTTTTTTGGAGTGGGGTACTGGGAAATGAACTCAGGACCTTGTGCTTGCTAGGGGACCACTGTGCCACTGAGCTATATCCCCAGCTCCTACAAAGACCTTTCATAGGGCACAGTAACACGAATATTTTAAATGATATAATAAATTCAAGGTACAAGGTAAAAAAAGATCCCCCCTCTATTTATGAATTGTATCAATAATTTATAATTACAACAAAAAGTATTTTCCAAACCTCACATCCACTGTATTATTCAACTCATGGTCAAACACTTCAAATGCATCTTTGATTCTTTTGTGAAATTCTGCTACTTTTAACTCTGCAAAAAAACAAAGTAAACCAAATTAGTTTGGAATTCAAAACAAAAATCCCAAAGACCAGACTAGAAATCTTAATAAGGAAGAACAGAAAGGATTCTTTCCTGATCACCTTTATGTATTGTTTAGCTTAACTCCATTTAGATGTAAAAAAATAGAATGGGCCATTTAAATTTTTTTTCTGAAGCCTAACACCAAAGTACACAGTTATTGGGTTTTTACATATGCATATGCATAAGGAAACAGCCAGTTTCCAAACAGGAGACTATTTCCACCCTATCTTCCATAGTTTGGGCAGAATCCTAGCCAGAAGCAGAGTAAACCTGTCAGCATCTCAGGGGTGTGATCAGCCCACACGGGGTGCTTCAGGGGACACACGGCATACAAACTGCAACATGTGACACTGCCTCAGAGCTTTCAAACAAGTTTGGGACTACATCTTACACATGTGTAATAGTGATACACTCAATATTTATTGAGTGCTTACTATGTGCTAGACAGTATTCTAGTTGATATGGTTATAGCAAGGAACAAAATAGACAAAAATCTCTGCCACATACAGCTATTTTTATTGGGGAATTTCTATAAGCTTGCGCATATTTAGTGAATATTTATAGTAAGTAAATGTGCTTTAAAAAGAAAATAAAAGAACCCAGGGCAGGGACATGAGATGTGCTGGGGTATGGGTGGGGGGAATGTGAGGAACATGATGGCTTGGGAAGGCCTCAGTGACAAGGTGACCTCTGGGGACAAAGTGACAGACACTCAGGAGGGGAAAGAGCCAGCCTTGTGATATCTCCAGGAAGTTTTTAGGCAGAGAACCCAGGTGCAGAGTAGCAGGAAGTCAGATCAGAGAGGTATGAGCCTGAGAGTGGGGGACACAGTCTCCAGGGGACCTGCAGCTTTCCAAGGATGCACGGTCTGGGCTATGAATGCGATGGAATCCTCTGGAGGCCCTTAGCAGCATGGTGCCCTGGGCTGCCTCCATTCCCTTCAGCTGTTTCGTTTTGTTGAGAGCACACCAGACCAGAACAGGAATAGAGGCAGAACAACCAAGGGATAATTAAAATATTCCAGGTATGGGGCTGGGGATTTAGCTCAGCGGCATAAGTGCCCCTTGCAAGCAGGCAGTCGTGAGTTCGATTCCTGGTACCGATAAAAAGGAAAAAGACAAAAAAAAAAAAAAAAAAATTCCAGGTGAGAGGGCGACAGTGGCTTGGACCAGGAGGAAAGCAGTGGACATGGTAAGAAATGGGAATATCACTGGGCACGGTGGTGCCCGTGATTAATCCTTGTAATTGGGAAGCCCATGTAGGAGGATTACAAATTGCAGGCCAGCCGGAGCTGTATGGCTAAGGTCAGCATGGACGACTTAGTGGAGGAATAGGGGAAATATGTAACACGCCTCAAATTTTACCAACAGTAAGTAAAACAGGACCCTGGGAAGACAGAGAGGGGCTAAGCGTGAGTTTAGATAATTGTCTCAATTACAAATATAATTCTGCCAATAGAGAATTAGCAACCTCTACCACTTCCCTTCACCTACCCCTGCCATCCCTCCTCGGGTTTACGTGACAAGATGTAACAATAACAACTTAAAAATCAAAAAAATAAAATGAGAAATTTTAAAGTCACGCATTCTCTCTTTTTGTTGTATTTTTCCCCAATCTTTCTTTATACAAATATTTTCATATATAACAATTAACTACCATTCATTCACTAAAAAATATATCTAAATAAGCGCTATGTATCAGATTCACTGTCAGGCACTGTATATGTATTTACAAGCTAAGAAGGAAGTGTACCCTTCTTGGAAAGTGAAAGGATTTTGCCCTACAATAAGTTATGTTATATTATGGCAGTGGGAGGCGAAACCAAATAGATGTTTACCTTGGTTTCAGTGGGAAGTCACTTCTTCCCTCTCCTATGACAACTTCCTTTTTCCTTTCCCGGTGACACAGAAAAGGTCAGCTGCTGGCAGGTCATCAATGCCCCACTAAGCGCCACCCCTGGTCAGAGGTTATGTATGTCCCATACCCCATGTTCAGATCAGAGGTGGCTAGACCATCTATGGTCATGGACTCCTCCCCACGTCCTTGGAATAAAGGCTATTTTTTACCTTATATTCTCTCTTTTATCACGCTGAAAACTCTTTCAGAAAGAAGAAACCCAAGTCCATAGAGGTTAAGCAAACGTACTCAAAATCACAGTTATGATGCGGCAGAGCTGGCTGGAACCCAGATCTTTTTCTCTTGAGTAATTCTGCTCTTCCTCTAACCTCAGTCCAGGTGCTCATCATGCACGACAGACCGGCCGCTCCACTTGAGGCGCAGCGCGCCTGCCTAGCGTGAGTAGGGCCTTGGGTTCCATCACTGGCACAGCAAAACAAACACAGGAGAACTCTACCAGTTACTTCACTCGAATGTTAATTTTTCTGGGTTGCAACATAATCTACATAACCTTCCATTTTAATAGACCCTTAAGGAAAGAAAAACAGACCCTTAAGGAATGCACCACAGTTTATTGATATAATTAATTCTTGTTTATTATAAATAACATGGCAGTGGGAAACATGCAACCTTAACAGACAAAAAATGAATATTATCTCATTTTTAAATTTACACTTCTTGGCCAGGGATTTAGCTTAGTGGCATAAGTGCCTGCCTGGCAAGTGTGAGGTGGTATATTTGATCACCGATACCAAAAAATAAATAAATAAATAAAATGTATACTTCTTTGATTAGAAGCAAGTCTGAATAATGATCCAAGTGTCTGCTGCCTGCTTTCAGTTATGAATTGTCTGCCGAGATGTTCAGCTCTCTATCTTCAATTGTTTCTTTTTCTTTTCTTTCTTTCTTTTTTTTTTTTTTTTGTTTGTTTGTTTTTCGAGACACAGTTTCACTATGCAGTTCAGGCTGACCCTGAACTCATCTTGTAGCCCAGACTGGCCTCCATCCTCCTGTCTTGGCCTCCATCCTCCTGTCTTGGCCTCCCGAGTGCTGGGATTACAGGTGTGTGCCCTATGCCCCGTTTCAGTTGTTTCTTAACAATGTATATGAGCACTTTAAAAAATGGAACACTTCATCCTGTGTCAGAATTACTGCAAAAAACTTTCAAGGCCAGGTGTTTGCATTTATTTTCTAAACTGAAAATAGCTCCACTTGCGATCTGATCATCAAAATCACATAGGATTACTGCAGAGTCGGCCAGGGAAAGAAGAATATGGGAAAGTTTAATTCAGTAAAATTCTCCAAATCCTACCATCCAGAGTTAACTACTCTTCCTGCTGTCCTCCAATCCAACATATCACTCAAAAAGAAACATGAGCATTCATCTTCAAAAAATATGTTACAGCCGGGCGTGGCAGCTCACACCTGTAATCCCAGCACTTGGGAGGCTGAGGTGGGAGGATTGTTGCGAGTTCGAGACCAGCCTGGGCTACAAAGTGAGCTCAAGGCCAGCCTGAATTGCATAGCGAGACACCATCTCAAAAAAGACAAGAAAAAAAAAAATCTGTTAGCCAGGTGGCGCATACCTGTAATCCTAGCACTCGGGAAGCTGAGACAAGAGGATCACTGGGAGTTGGAGGCCAGTCTGGGCTACAAAATGAGCTCAAGGTCAGCCTGAACTGCATAGTGAAACATGTCTCAAAAAACAAGCAGAAAGAAGGAAGAGGAGGAGGAGGAAAACAGAAGAAGCAGAAACAGAAGCAGCAGAAGCAGAAACAGAAGCAGATACAGACAAAGATGAAGAAGAAAAAGAAAATACACAAATGAAGATAAAGGAGAGCTGACCACCTGGGCAGACAATTCGTAACTGAAAACACAGGTGGGATACAGACACTTAGATCATTATTCAGACTTGCTTCTCTAGTCAAAGAAGTATAAATTTAAAGAATGAGATAGTATTCATTATTTTTTTTGTCAGGAAGCTGAGGCAGGAGGATCACTGTGAGTTCAAGACCAGCCTGGGCTACAAAGTGAACTCAAGGCTAGCCTGAACTGCATAGCCAGACCCTTGACTCAAAAAGACAAAAAATATCTGTTAGATTGCCATTCTTAGTGACTGCTTGGTATTTAATTATAGAGCATTATCAAAATTCATTTAAAGGTAATGGTATCTTAGGGGAAATCTCCCTGGGTATAACAGTAAAGTACCTTATATAAATATATATAAATAAAGTACCTTATATTTGATCACACAACTTTTTCTGTTATTGCCTGTCCGGAATAATCACTTAATTAAGATCCAAACCTTCCCTATCTTGGGAGTCCTCACCCACTAGGCAGTGGTCCAGTGTGAATGGGTCACAGTGCACTGGAACTATGGCTCCATGGTCTCAGTGCAACCAGATGACAGCAGTGTGTAGGGGACGAGGCCCACGGCAGGACAGCACAGGACCACACCAATGTGAATAGTTTCTCACTGTGGGGGACTACACAAATGGGGGGACTCACGCTAAACATTTTATTAGGAACTGATGTAACCACTTCAAGCCAAACACCTGATAGAGTAACACCTTGGGTTGCGAGTGACTTGCACTGCAAGTATTCTGCAAGGTGAACAAACATTTTACATAAATTTTAATTTAAGCCAGGGACTTAGCTCAGTGATACAGCACCTGCCTGGCAAGTGTGAGGTCATGAGTTCAATTCCCAGTCCAAAAAAAAAAAATTTAACTCAATAAAGAAATGATGTCTTGCTGTATAAGTAGCAAGTGACATCAAAGGTCCGATCACAACTGAGCCAATGTTCTGTGTGTGTGTGTGTGTGTGTGTGTGTGTGTGTGTGTGTGGGCGATCCTCTGCCAACAGCAAGAGATTTATGCAGAAGATCTCTGCAGAGAAGGACAAAAAGTCAGAGGGATCCCTCACTTCAAATGAACTTAGGGAGATGTATAAAATGTGGGAAACAGTGCAAAATTTTGTAGGAAAGCACCACTCAAATAAGGTTGTAGCAGTGCAACCAGCAAATCTGTTTAACAATAATGCAAAATCCTCAG